GACCCCGCCCCCCGCCCCGGCTAGTCGACCCGGAGGCCCACGCTGACCACGACTCTTACCGGCGCGCGGTTGCACGGGCCACGTGGGCGCCCCATCGAGCGGCCATCGCTAAATATGCTCAGCTGCGGCGGGATGCGCCGAACGAAGCTGAGCGTTATACAGCCAAGTATTTTCGGCGCAGCAAGCATGTGAAGTTACCCTCGTGCAGCCAGGCTCCGGAGAATCTCTCGATTGCTCCGGCATGGTTGCGGCTGTTGAGGCCGACCTTCGTGCGAGGGCTGACAACGCTTCCCCCCGCGATCCAGCCGAGCAGGAACAACAGCGGCGCACTGCAACGGCCATCAGGGCAGCAGGTGCAGTAGACCCCCTGCCCTGCGCGGGCGGCGACGCCCGCCCTCTCAAGTCAGACGGCCTGTGCCACTCCAGCGGAGCTGGAGGCAGCGCTGGGCTCCCTAGAGGCGTCGCGCTCAACAACCCGCGGGTGCTATGCAGCGGTCCGCGCTGCATGCACCTTCACGCCAGTGAACCTCGCGCGCCGCGCGTGCCTGACATCCGCGATGTGGTGACTCCGGCATGTTGTGTCGCTGCACATGAGTGGCCCCGTGTTGTGAGGGAGGCGGAGTGCCTGCGCCCGATTTCGGTATCCTGCGATGTGGCGGGCGTTCAGGATGGAACCGGCGAAGCCTATGACGGGGCCCATTTTCATATTGGTGCATGGGGCCGCAGAACATGCCGTACCCTGTTTAAGCTGGATAAGACGTCCCAATGCATTAGATCTGAATGTGCAGCTCTCTTTGACGATGTAGTAATTTGCAATGTTATTAAGCGCCATTTAGTGCAAACCAAACTTTCGACAAAGAGCTCGGCTGCGAGTGTTGAGGCTACTACGCATGAGGATGCTGCCGTTGTAGAGTTCACTCCTGAAGGCTTGTACGATTTCTTTACAAAGGCGACAGGGATTTGCCCGTTTAAGGCGCAGTTCTGATTAGCATTTGCAGCAGAGCTTTGCGTGCACGCTACGGCAAGGCATGCTGCAGCGTCAAAGCTAGAACGTACTTGGGTTGCTGGCTGGGGCACTGGCGTAGCGCTCGATCGCACTCTTCAAAAGGCCGGCGCGGCGACCCAGAAACTCAGGGACATGCTGCCTAGACACCAAGCAGACGCAAGCTTCGAGCGGTCGATCTTGTGCTCGATGCTATACCACCCCAACTTTGGTATGAAGCTGAAGGCAAAAATCAGGTTATTGATGAGCCAGCGCGGTTTCTTCGGAGCGCCATTGTTTTCGTTGCTCGATTTAAAGTTCTTGCTGTGTGAAATCCGGCAGTGCTGCGTCGTCCACACAAAGAGTTACTATCGCAGCAGCGCCGAACTGAAGGCATACCGCCAGCGGTATCTAGGCAAGATTTTGGAGCCATGCTGGTGGATATCACATTCTTCTCAGCGCGCGCTCCTCTGTGCACTTGTCCGGTGTACGGCAGACCACAAGTGCCCTGTGACCGAGGAGAACCCGTCCCTCTCCTCGTCTCTTTTTTTTTTTCTCTCTCTCTCTCTCTCTCTCTATCCCTCCCTGCCCCCTCGTCCCACCGTTGCGAGAGCAGTCGCCATTGTGTATTGCTTCTTGGACTGGCGTCGTGGGACCAAGTTGGCTGTCGCTTCTTGTCATGTGCCTCCCCTTCGCTTCGCGTTTCCGCCGCCCCCTGGGCGTCGGTGCCGCGCTGGGCTGTTGCCGTGCCGCGCCGTGTCGTGGGTGCCGTGCTGCGTCGTGGGTGCCATCGTTGCGGCCTGCCGTCTTGCGCCCCTGCCGTCGCCGCGGGGTGCCGTGCCGTGCCGCGTCGCGCCGCGCCGTCGGACCTCTCGGCCCTTGGCGGACGCGGCTGCTGGATATGAGTTTTTGTTGCCATATCCTGGCGGGCCCGCCCGTGGAGGGGGGCCCAGCTAGCCAGGGCGCGCCCTTGTCTGCCGCCGGCCGTCTGCCGGGCAGACCACTGCTGTCCGGGGAGAGGGGGGGCGTCGGAGCCCAGTCACCTTTGTATATTGTTTCTTGGACAGGCGCCGTGCGACCAAGTTGGCTGTCTCGTCTAGTCGTGCGCCTTCCCTTCGCTTTGCGTGTCCGCCGCCCCCTGCGCGTCGGTGCCGTGCTGTGCTGTTGCCGTGCCGTGCCGTGCCGTTTGTGCTGTGCCGTGTCGTGGGTGCCGTCGTTGCGGCCTGCCGTCGCCGCTGGGTGCCGTGCCGTGCCGCGTCGCGCCGCGTCGTCGGGCCTCTTGGCCGCCGGCGGACGTGGCTGCTGGATATGAGATTTATTCAATTTCCTGGTGTGTCTCGTCTAGTTGGCGGACGAGGCTGGTGGATATGAGACTTATTACATGTCCTGGCGGGCCCGCCCGAGGAGTGAGGCCCAGGATGTAGCCCGGGTGCGTTCCCGCATGCCGCTAGCCGACTGCCGGGCAGACCATTGCTGTCCCAGGAGGGGGTGGGCGACGGAGTCGGTCGCCGGCCGTCTGTCGGGCAGCCTTCGGCTGAACCGGGATGGGGGAGTGGCTGTCATCTCCTTCTTTGTTGCCATGTACCCTTCTTGTGGCCGTTGCAGCTGGGTGATGCGTTCGTGTTTGATTTTGATGCAGGCTGTCGACTCTTGTCATGAGCCTTGCCTTCGCTTCGCGTTGCCGCCGTCCCCTGGGCGTCGGTGCCGTGCTGGGCTGTTGCCGTGCCGTGCCGTGTCGTGGGTGCTGTGCTGTGCCGTGGCTGCCGTCGTTGCGGCCTGCCGTCTTGCGCCCCTGCCGTCGCCGCGTGGTGCCGTGCCGTGCCGCGTCGCGCCGCGCCGTCGGGCCTCTCGACCTTTGGCAGACGCGGCTGCTGGATATGAGATTTTTGTCATATCCTGGCGGGCCCGCCCGTGTGGGGGGGCCCAGCTAGTTCGGTCTCCATTCATAGCCAGGGTGCGCCCTTGTCTGCCGCCGGCCGTCTGCCGGGCAGACCACTGCTGGCATCCAGCCTTCTTCTTTTGGTTGATTTGTGTCAGCATGCTTCCTTGACTCGAGACGCCTTGTTCTTCGGCCTCGCGGCTTCCTCCGCCCGCCCCCGTGGGCTGCCGGCCCTTGCCTGGTGCAGCTGCAGCGTGCTGTGCCTTGCGCTGTGCCTCGCGGTGTGTTGTGCCTCGCCGCTCCGTGCTTGGGCTGCCGTGCCGTGCCGCGCCTCGTCCGTCGTGCCTCTCGTCTGCGCCTCGCCGGGCCGCGCCGCGTCCTGGGCGCCCCTCCTGCGGTGTGTGCCCAGTTGTTGCTTCTCTTCGCGCGCTGTGCGCTCGCTCCGCCGCTCCCCCGTCGGCGGTGCCGCGCCGTGCCTGGGTCGCGTGGGCGTTCGTGCTGTGCCGTTTTTCTGGTGCCGCGTGCGGTGCTCTGGTGCCGTGTGGCTCGCCGTTGGGCCGTGCCGTGCCGGGGGTGCCTTGCCGCGCTGCGGTGCCTTGCCGCGCTGCGGTGCATTGACGTGCGCCGGCCGTCTGTCGGGCAGCCCGCGGCTGACCCGGGGGGGGCTTCGAAACTGGAGCGGGCTTGTTGCACGGTTAGCACTCTGTGAGCGGAGGCCGCCAGGGCCAAGCACCGCCCGGCTGTCCGTCCGCCGCGCTACTAACGAGGCGGGGGGGGAGTGCTGGCGTGGGGTGATCGTCGTCGTCGTGCTGTTGTCGTGCCGTGCTGTGTCGTGGGTGCTGTGCTGTGGCGTGGGTGCCGCCGTTGACCTGTGCGTGTTATGTCGCCGCCATGTGATGCCGCGTTACTCGCATCCCGCCATGGGCGCGGCCTCTTGTGCTCAAGTTACGTTCAGCGGCGCAGCGGACCCCGTTCAAGTGTGACGCCCGGCACGCCCCAGCCCGCAAGAGGCGCGCCAGGCCGCGGCAATGCCACCCCGGAGACGGCGCCACAGCGAGCATGAGCGTGATGAGCGCCGCAGCCGCAGTCGGAGGCGACGCAGCAGCTCCAGCGGCAGCTCACCCTCGAGGCGCCACCGTAGCCGCGCGAGGCCCAGGCCCCGCAGGTTCCAGTACCCCTCGGGCCACGGCCACAAGTCTTCCAGCTCCAGTCCCTCGCCCCCGCCGGCTAGTGGTGGGCCGCCGAGCGGGGTTGGAGGTGGTGATGCGCTCAGCCCGCGCGGGCTCTCCGCAGCCCACGCCTCGGCGCCTGGCACCCCGCAGGCCGCCCGTCACGCCAGCTCGCCGCCGGCGCAATGGCTGGGGGCTTCGCCGGCGCCGCCACAGGGGGGAGCGCCGCCGGCCCCGTGCCCCCCGACTCCGGCTGCGACTACCCCCCCCAGGAGCCCGCGGCCCGCTTCCCCGGGGCCGCCGCTCCTAAGCCCCCCGCCATTGCCGGCGGGCTGGGGAAGCCGGCGCGACCCACACAACGGCCAGCTCTACTTCATTCACAAGACCACGAAGGAGAGCCGGTGGGACCACCCGGCCCCGTCGCAGGCAGCGCCGCCGGTTGCCACGGACGTGCCCCGTGCCCCCGCAGCCTCGGCGAGCCCCGTGCCCCCCCCCCCCGCAGCCACGGCGCACCCTGTGCCCCGTGGCCCAGGTGGGGGCGCCCCCGCAGCAGTCGCGCTCAAGGCTGCTCAGGCGCAAGCGCAGGCGAATGACCTGCGTCTTCCGAAGGAGGCCCTCGCCAAGCTCCAAACCGATAAGCCGCCCTGGGAAGCCTTTTCAGGTGAGACGGGCCAGCGCCTGTGGATCCATAAGGGCACGGGCGCCAGCCAGACAACTGAGCCCCCTGAGGTTGCGGCGCACCTAGCTCAGGTTGCCGGGTTACGTGGTCGCCTTGCTATGCTTGAGAGCCGCGCGCCCGCCTCGTGCCCGCTCCTCGGGCAGCCGCCTGCAGCGTCTACGCGAATCGATCCCGAGTCGCGGGCTGCACTGAAAGGGGGGCTGGAGGAGGAGGCAGTGGAGCAGGCCCTCCTCCAGGAAGCCCAAGCTACCCCACGTGGAGTTCAGGCCCTCGCCCTTGTAGCGCCGCCAGGTGGCGCCCTGGCTCCTACAAGCTCGCCTGCAGCCCAGGACCTGCCCCCCTCGGCCACGCTGCGCACCCAGTCGGACCTCGACTCAGCCTTGGGCGCCTGGCAGCGCCAGATGCGTGACACAGTAGGTGAAAGCAAGGACGGCAGGGTCGGCGTCGAGGCGACGTTCCTTGCGGGTTCCTGCTCCTCCAAAGAAGACCTCCACCGGCTCGTTAGAAACATCGGCGTCACCATCGCCCATGGCGACACCCGCGCGCGGAGCCCCGCGACACCGCGCCCGCCGCCGCCGCTCGCATTGGTGACTGGCGACTTTAACCAGCCAGCTTTGGAGGTAACGTTCCGGGTGAGCCCCTTAGCCAAGTTGACCATCCAGCTTGAGAACAGAAGGAAGGGCCTTGTGAAGGTCAAAGGAAAACAATCTGTCTTGGAAGCGAACGTGGAGGAGCTGCTCATGTATTTCGGGCTGGCGGCGGGGATCAAAGCCGCCACGCCCCCTGCGCAGCGCGCTGACGACGCTCAGCCGGGCGCGCGCCTGTCGGCCAGGGAGCGCCTCGCGAGCGCCACAAGGCCCCCCACCTTCCAGTAGAAGAACGTCACTGTCGGGCGTCGGCGGTGGCCGCTGGCTGCGCCCCCCGTCGGGGCAGGGGAGTGGCAATTCCGTTTTCCCCCGCATGTCCTGCGCTCCTCGTCCCGCGTCTTTCCCCTCCTGCCCGTGCCTGCCCCTCCTGCCGCCCCCTTATGATTATGCTTCCGCTGGCTTTGCAGATCCGTGGGCGGGAGTTCCTGCGCGATGCCTCGGGAAAAAGATAACAACTCTGCGGCGGCATGGCGCGTGCAACAGAGACTGTGCGCTTCGCAAGCCCCTTCCGCCCCCCACTGTGGCCCCCGGCCTTGCTCCTCGCATGGGCCGCAACCGGAACTGGCACTCTGGGGCCCCCGCTAACGACTGCGCCGGGCAAACTGAGAGCACGGCATGTCCAATTCCACGCGTGTGCGCAGCAGCAGGAGTGGGCTTGTACTAGGCTCCTGAGGCAGGGGTAGCTGGGAGCAAGGAGTCAGCATGCCTGCCTGTGCGCTGTCTTGCGTTGTTGCCTTGCCTCCCTCTCTCACGACTTGTCAGCAAGCTTGTAATGTGATGGAGCAGACGCACCGCGGACGGCCAGGGGAGTTGCCGCTGCTGCTCGATGACGTGGCCAGGTTGGCCACCGCCGCTGCTGCGCCGTTCCCGTCGCCCTTGCCGCCGTCGGGCTACCGACGTCGCGTCGCGTCGAGCTCGCGGTCCGCGGTGGCGGTTCTGCCCGCCCGGGCAGCCACCTCTCCCGCGCAGCCGGGCGCGCCGCCCGGTCGCGCGGCGCGGGCCGGCCGATGGAGGCTGATCGGAGCGCCCGTGCGCGGCCGGACGCCTTAGGAGAAGCGCAGAAGCAGCTGCGCGCCTTCCGCTCTTTTTGCAAGGAGTGGCTAGCGCGCCCGCCGGCTGGAGGCCGCGGCGGCCCTGCGCTACGTCCTGGCGCTCTTGGAACTGCTGCCGCCGCGCCCTGCCCACATGCTGAGTGGAGCAGGGCCGGCGTTGCAAGAGCTGTGGACCTTCGCTGATGAAATGGCTTACATCCTGAAGCATGTCCTTACCGCGCCTCTGCGTGTGCTGGCCCCCCAGTCGCCAATGGTGGGCTCCCTCTATGCCGAGCCGCCTCTTGTCGCGTGCTTCTCGGGAGGGGCGGGGACGTCCATTTGGATTACTTAGTTGACCGCCCGGAGCTTTGCACTGGCGCGCACTGTAAGCAGTCCTCCGTGGATCAAGAAATCCAGCAATGGCTGGAGGCTGCGGGGCTCCTGGCATTTAATCCCTCCACGCCGGCGCATGTCTCAGGCACCTGCGTCGACCTTTTTGTTGGTGTGAAGGCGTCGCCCCTCCCCGTGCACGCCCAGCCTGATTTTATTGCTCTATCTGACAATCGCCTAGTCATGGCAGAGGTGCCGTGCCAGTTTACAGCCCCGTGGGCGGGCGGGCCTTGGTAGAGTGGCCTGGACGTCGGGCCCCCAGTTGGGCGAGGGCCTCAGGGAAATCTCAAGTACCCTCGTGGCGCTCAGCCGGTGCGTGGAAAAGATATCGAACGCCTCGCGGTTACGGCCGCAGTGGTTCGGTAGCAGTGCCACCAGGCTGCAAAGGCGCGCGGTAGTTAACGTTGCGGCCTGGGCCCGCGACGCCGTCGACACCTTGGTGGGGCACGCGGCTGGCGCCACCAGGGTGATTGGAGGCAAACAACGGATCCTGCAGGCTACCGCTCATAAGCTGCTGGACCCCGCCAGCTTTTTGCGTCGCACCAAGAATTTAAAATCGAAGTAGCACGGGCTGCGTGGGGCGAAGAGGGCGGCCCACCGTTTTTTTGGCATCTCCGGGAGGTCAACCTGGGAGGTGCGAAAACGCTGCGACGCGAAGCTGGCGGACCCGACCACGGGAATGGTTGAGGCCGACCAACGCGATCTTTTCGCGCGCGATAGGAACGATTTTGAGCAGGACCCGGAGGCCGCGGAGGCCATGGAGAGACAGGTTGCCAGGATCCGGAAAGCGGGCGGGTGCCCTGGAGGGCGCGCCTGCTCCGCCACCTCCCTCTTCGGACACGGAAGTGATTGCTTTGCTGGGGGCTTTTAAACAAAGCAAACGCACGCTGCATGGCTGCTACGCCGCTCTCCGGGCGGAGGCCCCTGCAGGGATACGCCTGACAAGGTTCCTGATGAACCTGGCACGAGCCGCCTGTGTGACTGCGAGAATCTGGTCGCTGCGGCAGATCACGCCTCTTCGCAAGAGTGGCCCAGCCACCGTGCGTGCCGTGTCCGCCTTGCGGCAGATTCCCATCGCCATGGATATGGCGTCTGTCCAGGACGCCCTGAGCTGTAGCACGATCGTTCCGCCATTCGCCTGGGCAGCTTGACTCGACGCGGTGGAAGACGCGCCGCCAGTGCACTGCGCCGCCCCGCCGCGGTTGGAGCTCCAGCTCGACGGTGTCGTGAGGGAGGTGCCGTGTCTGGCAGCGGCGGAATTGACGCCGTGGCCGCAGGCGAGGCACTTCCTGAGCGGGGCCCTGAGTGAGCTGTCGTCGCTGGCCGATCGCACTGACGTGGTGGAGCGTGTAGGGTCTCACCACTTAGCCCTCCGCAGTTTGTATGTAGATGACATCCCACTGCCTTGCCCGTCACAAGGGGGCCGTGCGGGCAGCGTTGTCCGAGGAGAAACGGTCAGCCTGTAGCCGCTACGCTCGGCACGTAAAGGTGCGCTTTAATTACAAGAAGGGTAAGACGGCGGCCCTGCCCCTCCTGGGTGCACCCCTTGCCTCTTTCTGCAAGGGCCCCAGTTGTGCTCACCACGCGTCTCCTAAGCGTCCTATTGAAGGCTGGCCTCACCTTTCAGCCTCTGCACCAAGAGACACTTGCGAGAGGCAGGAGTCTTTTTGAAGATGTACTGCAAGCGGCCGAGTGCGGTGGCTTCTCTGCCCCGGTCACCGCCACGCAAGCCCTCCCGCGCGTGGAGTCGGTTATCCTTTATGCCTCTCCACTGCTGGTACTAGCCGCCAGGGCTGAAGCAGCGCTGAACCGCCTCCAGGTTGGGTGGGGCCGCAAGCTCCTCGGCTGCCACATGGGCCCGCCTGTCCGTCACAGCGTGGTAGTGGCCCAAGGCGGTTGGCCGCTGAGGCTGGGCAAGAAGTTTTCGAAGCGTGCCATGTTGACGCAAGCCAGGCTCGCCGTTCTCCCGTTGGACCACCCGGCGTCCCGGGCCTGGCAAGCTTCACGGAACATGCACGTCCCATCCTGGGACACCGCAGTGACTGCACTAGCAGGGCGCCTTCCGCCGCCGCCGCAGATCTCGCCCCGAGCGGCGGAGAGCCCGCTTGGGGTGGTGTCGCTGGCAGGTCGTCCGCCCGGCGTTGCTCGAGTGCGACCAGCAAGCGTTCAGAAAGGCAGCATCGGTAGTATTTCCTTCGCTGCAGCGCTCGTTTGCTGAGCTCCGCCCGGGGCCGTCTCCCCCAGACTGGAATCTTCCGGGGTGGGAGGCGTCTCCATATTTTTGGGAACACTACCAGGTGTGGGCGGTCACGCGTATGAGAGGTTGCTGGTCCCTTTCTGTGCTTGGCCAGGGAGGGCTACCGGCCACTCTCCCTCGGTGCGGTGCGTTGGACGTGGGCGTCGACCATCCCCTCGCGACGCGCCGGGCCACGGCAGTGCACCAGGACCTGCTGGCAAGAGACGGCCCGCGCATCCAAGACGTTGCCCCAGAATTGGCACTCCAGGTCCTCTTCTGCGAGGGTCTCCCATCGCGTGCCCGTGCAGGGTACGTCAAATATATGGGAGCTGCGGTGATGCAAGCTGCTTGGCCGGTCCCGCCCCCGCCGCCTCCCCCTCCGCCCCCGCCTCGCGCGCCTCCACCGTTTGCGGAGGATGCTGGTGACTTGTGATCGTCGTCGTTGTCGTGCCATTTTCCCCTGGCTGGTCTGACGAGGCCTGCCCGGTCCGCCCTGCAGACCACAGGGCCGATTCGGGCACGAGCGGGCCGTGCCATAGCTGTGCCTCCTCTGCCGCTCCCGCCTCGCGCGTCCCCTCCGTTTTCGGAGGGAGCTGGTGGCTTGCGATCCGCCCTGGCGCTTGGACAGCCCCCCGCAGAGGCGCGTCGCACGATGAGCACTCTGCGGGAAGAGGCCGCAAGAGCCAAGCACCGCCCGGCTGTCCGCCTGCCTGGCGCCCAACGTGGCGGGGGAGGGGCGGTTTCTCGCGGCTCCGCGCTGTCCACTGTGAGTCAGTGGGGAGATCGGCGCCCCTCCCCTCCACTCCCTCCACCCCTCCCTGCCCCGGTGAGGACCTGCGCTGTCCGCCCAGGTCGGGCGGGGAGGGCAGCTGGAGGTGTTGCAGATGTGCGGGCACGATGGGGTGTGAGAGACCACCACCTGGCAGCGTCCATATCTACCCTCCCTCGGAAAGGCTGCTTGCGGCAGCTGTGAGGGGCGGCGCGCCCGCGGCCGAGCGGCGGGCGCCCGGCGCAGGACCCGGTGATGTCGTATGAACGCGAAACGAAACGAAGTTTTTTTTTTTTTTTTTTTTTTTTTTTTTTTTTTTTTTTTTTTTTTTGTTAAAAAAAAAAAACAAAAAAAAAATATTTTTTTTAATTATTTTTCTTTCTCTTGCGCAGGGGCACGCCTAGCCGAGGCCGCCTCGCGGAGCCCTGCCGTGGCCCGCCGCCCGCAGCCGTCGGCCTAGGCCTCAGGCCCGCCGCTCGCCGCCGTCGCCGCCGCTCCCGTCCGCCCCGCTTGCCAGCGGGCGGCCGAGCCCAGCCCCGCCTCGGCGCCCCTCACCTCCGCCAGTCAGCGCGCCGCTCTCCTCGCGCCTCGGCCGGCCCATGGCGGGCCCCAGCCAGCCGCAGCCCGCCGCCTCCGCTTCAGCCCCCTCGCCGCGGGGATCCGCCGGCCGCGGCGCCTCGTCTCGCTCCTGGCGCGGCCGCGCTGCGGCCCCCGCCCGGCCGCCCTGAGAGTCGCAGGCGGTCTAGCCCCACCCTCACTCGGGGCCCGCTCTGGCGTGCCTCC